AAAATAATACTCCCTCTCAGAAAGGCAACAGAAACTGGAAAGCATTACTATAAATAAAATACGCAGTTGCCTGATCATTATGGCACAGTGTAACTATACTTTCTAGAATCACCCATTTCTTCTCCACGTTCTTGATTAATTTAGAAAAATTAGGTGGCTTTTTAACAGCTCTAGCTTATCAGAAATGTCTTTAAGCATAATCCAAGTAGAAACGGCAAAGCGACAAGAAAAAAGCATGCCTTACTATAATGGGGCATATCGCTTCTAGAGCAATTCTCTTACAGAAAAAAATCACATCTCCTGCTGGATTTGCCAGTGGGTGTAGTTTTACCAGGGGGACAGGCGAGGCGACTGCGCTCTCACTGGCACCCGCTGGGGAATGCTGCTGTACCTGTGTCGTCTGTACGACCCCGTCCCCAGGCAGGGAAAGAAATGTGTACAGCTGAGTGGTGTAACTGTTTTAAAACTACTTACTGCTGACATTGTGATAGACAAAGGCCTGTACCAACAAGGACTGAAAACAGAAGTATCAGCTCCTACTTAACTACACTGACAGAAACGAAAAGGACAATTTACAGGGCAGTTTCCCACACTGAATCATTTCCAAACAAGAATTGTTTGGATATCTATTTTTATCATACACAGACAGAGATAGTGCAGAAGCTATATTTACCATATGTAAGCTATGACTTGAGCTCCAAGATTTCTGAACCTTATGTGGATTTAAGTTATTGTCTATATTTAGCTAGTAACAATTTCATAAGAAAAAAAATGTCTGTGTTAAGAGACCAGTCTTAACTCTCTAACCAGGTTACAAAATGAAGTATTTAAAAGTCAGAAAGGAACAAAAGCACAGAAGCACATCTACTGTAGAAATGCTAGTGAGAGACAAATACCCATCAGCGTAGTCGAGTGCCTCAGAATTAATGGAGTCAACTTGACAAAACAGCTGTGAGATTGAAGAGAATTATTATGCTCGTTCTACCGATGGGAAATTGAGACGTAGAGTTTGCACATAGCTAAGGCGCATTTAATTCTTTCATTTTGTTTTGAAACGTCACTAGATTATTTTGATTTGGGGACAGTAGGCTCTCCCTCCAAAGAACAACTGACAGAAAATTTAAGCGAACCATTGGTAGTTGTGGTTGTTGTTGAAAGGGATGATCCTGCTCCCTATCCTGTCCCAGGCCATGCGCTCCTGACGCTTTCCTTGTGTCGGATCTAGTAGCTGTGCCGCCAGATCTGCATGCGGAGCCAGCAGCTGCTGCCGCACAATTGCGAGGCGTGATCCAAGTGGAACGGGGGAAACACGCAGGCAGGGGCGGACAGGGCAGAGCAAGGCTGTTCTGTGACAAGCTGCACTCAACGTTACGTTAGGTATATCAGTGTGAAACCACACCCTGAAAACTGCGACCCCTACTAATAGGGGGTCGTTGTCGTTCGATGAACCCCTTACTGCAAGCCAGGGATATTGGGTTGATCTGGCAACAATCTGGAACGCTTAGAGCAGCGCACCTGCTTTGGCAGCAGTACAGGAATGCAAGCAGATTGACGCCACTTCTTACATCCAGCCCTCTGATGTAAGGCAGAGACGTAGGATATTTTGTGGGACCAGGGAAACATCTAACAGATTACGCACCCAATAACAAATGCATCCATCTAACAGATGATGCATCAAAAAAAAAAAAAAAGGACTAACCACATAAATGGAAGTCCAGTCAGCATAGCACGTGAGGCAGTCCTCCTCTTCTATTCAGATCTGGTAAAATCTGAGTCAGCTGAAATACTGTGACTGGTTCTGGGCACCTAAAAATGCAGCTCATTTGGAAAGGCTGCAGAGACAAGCGATACAAATAATCAGAGGCCCAGCAAACGCAGTCTATTACTCTAGAACAGCTATGGAGAGGCATAACGAATTTCAAATATGTAAGTAGTACCTATAAAAAGGGAATAACCTGTTCTCCAGTGCAATAACACGAGGACTGGATTTCAGCTATGGCAAAAGAGATGTCAGGGTTAAACTACACAGTCACTTCGTAACAGTAAGGATAGCAAAGCACTGGAACAGAGCACTTAAGGTAAGTGCAGAATGTCTGTATTTGAAAGGTTTTAAGGGTATGTGGAACAAATACTAGCCTGTAAAAACAAAGTGTTTATCTTAAAAAAACCCCACATAATTTGATGACTCTGCTGAGTCTGGTTTCTAAAACTCCTGTATTCTCTTCATTTTCTGCCATGGTTTACACCACTAATAATCAACTCTTACAAACTTGGAATTGTACCTCTGGCACGTTTCTCTCTGTCCCTCAAATTCAGGCCCTTGACAAACTATTCTGTTTCCCTCCTAATTAAATTTCACTAAGTGTCAACCTTTCCCGTCCATCCAAATCACTACAGTATTACTTCTAGGTCTCGCTATCTCGTATCTCGATCAAAATTAAGTACTGTGCCTTTCTGCCTCTGGCACCTCAGCGTGTGGAAATGGCTGCTCCGAGAAAGCTCTTCTGTCCCACGGCCTAAACCCATCACCCTCTGAAGCACCTCCCCCGGCACCCCGCTCCCCTCTCCCTCCCCGCCAGGGTTTTGCTGCCTTCAGGGTTCTTAACACAGCCCCTGTCCCAGCTCTGGGCTGGCCCGGGCCGCTTGCTTCCCCCGCCTTCACTTCCACTCCCTTTCGTGTGGACTTCTGTACTGACATCAGGGTCTCCCTGCCGGTTTTGCGGCCTCTTGTCCCATTTAAAACTTAAAGTTACTCTTTCTATACACCCTTCTGACTTTTTCTCATCATTTCCACGCCGTGGGCTGTCTTTGTAGAACCTGAGTAGGTCTTTGACACGTTCTTGCCTTTTGTGTTTAAGCGTGGTATTAGGAAGACCTGTACACACCAACACCGTGAACACCGGCGCGTCTGTTCTATCCAGCGGGGTCTTCACGGTGGCACCGACACGGCGGTAGCCCTGCGCCGTGAC